GATGTATAGAATTAAAATTGACTCACTGGTTTAATTGTCGAGCAGAGGTTGAATTAGTGACTCGATGACCCATTGTCCAATTTGGGTTGATGTTCGGGTCAACTTTTATAATTGTAAATAATCACAACTTTACTACTCAAAACAATTATGAAAGAATCCTGAAAACTTGAGACAAAAACATAGGATGTATCTAAATGTGCTTTTGCACCTTTGCAATATCATTAGAGAAAAAAAGGCCTCTACGAGATATGCGATGTATATGTTGAAGAAATGCTTGCAAGATTCTTACTTACCATTAGTCAAAACTCTCGACAGTGTCTTGGTCGAGCACATTTCAGGTCAATTAGAAATTTCAACGAAATTCTAAAGGCTTTGAACTTGATATCATGGTCAGACTTGGATTTGCAATGCCAAACAAAATAAGAGAAAGTACTAGGTTTTATCCTTATTTTAAGGTAAATTATACTATATTATCCATAAATGTTATTATTATTACAAATAAAATAAATTGTTAAACATATCATGTCCACTCATGATTTATGAGAGCTATTGATGGTACACATATAATGACTATGATATTACGACGTGATATGAACAACTATCGCAGTCGCCATGGAATATTATCACAAAATGATTTGGTGACTAGGAATTGTGATTTGAAATTCATTTATATCCTTAGTGGATGGGAGGTTCAGCTCATGATTCAAAACTCTAAATGATGCCTCAGTAAGAAGAAATGAACTTAAAGTACCACGAGGCAAATTTTTTCTTCAATTGGTTCTACGTTTATCTGATTCTTGACGTGAGATTAAAATAAAAATAAAAATACATATGTTCTATGCCTGTATTGTATACTTATCTTAGGGATTGTAGATTTTCAAATTGTCATCAGTTTTTAGCTCCATTTTGAGGTGCTCGATATCATCTCCAGGATTTTGGTGGCTAATGAGTTACTTCATCTTCATCATGATTCCTTGAGAAATGTAATCGATAGAATTTTTGACATTTTCAAATCACAATTCAAAAATTTTGAATTAGCACCTTCATTTCCATTTAAAAACACTACACTAGCTCTCATCACTACAACAAAAATGACATTTTGCAATACATAAAATACAACATTTGTTATTTGAATGTTGCAAAAGGTGTCTATCCTACAAAAATGAAGTGATTGTTTTCATTGGTAAACATAATTGAGATTTGGCAATATTTTTTAAATGAATGTTGCTAATGTTGACATTTTAGCAACTTTTAGTGAGTGTTGCAAAAAAAATTATTTTTCGCAATGTTTATTAGCTATTGTTAAAAGTTCATTCTATAGCAACGTTCAATGACTATTACGGATATTTAGATATATAGTTTTTTACAATGTTCGTTTACTATCGAGAAAAGTTTCTCTTTTTGCAATGTTTAATAAATGTTACAGAAAGTTGATTCCACCCTTGTTTTCGAGCCCTAATCGACCGTACGAAGATGTGGTAGCCGACAGACCTTCGATTCCACATTTCCACTGACGATTCAACGGCAGCACATACGCAACAAAAGAAGAAGGTGAAGGCCCGAAGCCTACTCGTTTTTCATTTCTTTTTTATCTGTTATTTTGATTTGTCTACTATTTTAATTTTTTCTTTTAACATATGAAATTAGCTCTTTGAATTGCACTTGAATTGCTCTTGAATTTCTTTTGAATAGCTCTTGACATTAGACTGAGAAGCCTGTGAAGCCCTCAAGCCTGAAGCCTATGAATGCAGCTTTTTAGAGTGCCTTTTGCCTCCTTAGTATGGAACTATTCATAGTTGAGCAGAAAATATTTGATTCATCCCTTTTACAATGTGATCGTGTTCATTAATTCGAACTTTCCTGATGTAGATTGAATCTACAAACACACGACAACAATAACCAAACGAATTGAATTCAGAAACAAACTTTTATTATTTCGTAAACAACCAAGAAAATCCTAGGAGGCGTCTTGCAGCGTTTTAAATATGAAAGAAAAGATAACCTACTGGGCCAGCAGTCCCAAAATAGGCTGAGCTACAAAATGGAAATAACAAATGCTGAAAATAAATAACACAAAAACTTAAAATGCTGTTTTGACACACTAAACGATTTCAAATGCCCAAAAACCCTCGTACGTCACAGGAAAGCGATGAGTTCAATCCGAAACGCTCGCTACCTTTTCGAAATGGGGTTATGGGCCCAAAACGGACACCAAACACAAAAGTTACATCAATTTCTTTGAAAGCCGACCATCCAACTGTTTCATGTATGCTAATGCCTGTTCCTCCGCATAAACCTCATCATTCTCCCCAGGATCAATGGGATTCGCCCTCGAATCAGAACCGGTAGCACTATCTCCCACGTTGTTTCCATGGTATGGCAAAAGATACTTTACATTAAATACATCAGAAGTCCGTATATGGGAAGGAAGTCGAAGGCGATAGGCGTTGGGGTTGATCTTCTCCACAATTTCCACTGGACCAATGGTACGAGGTGATAACTTCGAATGCTCATGAGATGGCACTCGATCCTTAGTCAGTACCGTCCAAACATAATCCCCAACGTCAAACTTAATAGGACGTCGATGCCGATCAGCCGCCTCTTTATACTTACGATTGGACTCTAGCAGATTAGCTCGTGTTTCCTCATGAACTTGTTGCAAACTACGAACAAAGTCAACAGCTGTCCCATGCAGCTGAGTCTTAGAGGGCAGAGTCAATAAATCAACAGGGCTGCGGGGCAGAATACTATACACAACCTGGAACGGATTGAAACCGGTGCTTCTATTTCTAGCATGATTATACGCAAACTCTGCCTGGCTAAGCCGCTGATCCCATGAGCGTAGATTATCCCCAACCAAGCACCGCAACAAGTCACCCAAAGAACGATTAACTACCTCTGTTTGCCCATCAGTTTGAGGGTGATAAGCACTACTAAAATTGAGCGACGTGTTAACTGACTTCCATAAACTCCGCCAAAAGTGACCGATGAACCTCGTGTCTCTGTCAGACACGATGGAAGTGGGCAACCCATGCAACCGATAAATCTCTCTGAAAAATAGTTGAGAAACCTTGACAGCATCAGTGATGCGCTTGCAGGGAATGAAGTGCACCATTTTAGAAAAACGATCTAACACCACAAAGATGGAATCATTACCACGTTGTGTGCGCGGTAAACCCAGGACAAAATCCATGCTAATATCAGTCTACGGAGTTGAAGGCACTGGTAAGGGTCGATAAAGACCAGCATTTGTGGCTTTCCCCTTTGCCACGTGGCACACCCTGCATCGCGAGACAAACTTCTCCACTTCACGACGCATAGTAGGCTAGAAAAATGAAGCGCTAATCAAAGCCAAAGTACGATCTCGCCCAACATGACCTTCACCGTGAAACTCCTCAATCAATTTCAGACGAAGGCTGCAATCTAGTATACACAACTGGACACCTCTAAACACATATCCATCTTCTAACAGACAAGAGGAATGGGGTCCCTGCAGTAAACTGTGATAGATGGGGCCAAAATAAGGGTCATCAACATAAAGAGAGACAAAGATCTCAAACTCGGTGACCGCTACTTGTAGCCGCGCTAATAACCCATGCTGCCGACTGAGCGCATCTGCCACACGATTAGAAGAACCAGCCTGATGTTTAATGACAAAGTTGAATTGCTGCAAAAAGGCAACCCATGTTGCATGACGGGCAGATACAAACTCTTGACTTGACAAATGCTTGAGGGCTTCATGATCACTGTATAAGACAAATTCTCGCTAAAACAGATAATGTCGCCAATGGCGAATGACCTGAACAACAGCATAAAGCTCTGCATCGTAAGTGCTATACCTCCCACGAGCCCCTGCCAACTTCTGACTGAAATAAGCTACTGGTTTTCCTTCCTGACTGAGGATAGCTCCGATACCCAATTTAGAGGCATCACAATGTAATGCAAAAGGTTTTGTGAAATCAGGCAACGCAAGTATCGGGGCTGAAGTCAGACACTCCTTAATGATCAAAAATGCTTTCTCAACCTTAGGTGTCCACTAAAACTTACTCTCCTTCATGCAATCAGTAATGGGAGACATGATGGTGCTGAAGTGCTGAATAAATCGTCGATAAAATGACGCTAAACAGTGGAAACTCCGCACATCAGAAACTGACTGTGGATGCGGCCAATGCCGAATCGCATCAACCTTAGCTGCATCCATCGTTACCCCACCGGCTGACACAACATACCCCAAAAACAAAACACTATCGGTATAGAACACACACTTCTTAGTGGCTGCAAAAAACTTCTCCTTACGTAAAACAGTAAGGACTTCCCTTAGATGCACACCATGAGACTCCTCCGACCCACTGTACACCAATATGTCATCGAAGTATACAACAACGCACTTACCAATAAACGGTCGAAGTGCTTGGTTCATCACCTACATGAACGTGCTCGGTGCATTGGATAGTCCAAACGGCATAACTAGCCACTCAAATAATCCCTCCCGTGTCTTAAATGCTATCTTCCACTCATCACCAGGACGGACTCTTATCTGATGGTAACCACTTTTCAAGTCCAGTTTGGTAAACACAGTTGCGCCGACCAACTGATCAAGCAAGTCATCTAACCTCGATATCGGAAAGCGATAACGAATTGTTATTTTGTTGATGGCCTTGTATCTATACACATCCAATAACTCCCATCTTTTTTTGGCACTAGGAGTGCGGGGACTGCACACGGGCTGAGGCTCTCTCTGATGTACCCCTTCTGCACCAACTCCTCTACTTGTCTCCTCAACTCCTCATGTTCCATTGGGCTCATTCGATAATGTGGGCGATTAGGCAATGATGCGCCCGGTACCAAATCAATGTGATGTTGCATATCCCGCAAAGGCGGAAGACCCTGTGGAAGGTCATCCGGAAACACATCATGAAACTCAGACACCAAGGCGGCAGCTTTGGGGTGAAGACTCGTCCCCTCGGCTGCCATAGGAACTGTTGACACTCCTGTCGCCTCAGTTCCCACTAACAATAGTACAACACCTTCTGCCAACATCTCACGCACAAACAAAGATCGGGAAAGTAGATTATTACTGTCCTCTGCCGAAGACAGACGCTGCGTATCTTTGGAGGGTAGTAGTACAATCTTTTTACCCGAAAAGGTGAATGTATATGCATTTCGATGCCCTTCATGGCACACATCCCTATCAAACAGCCATGGACGACCCAACAACAAATGACACGCATCCATCGGCACCACATCACACCAAACACTATCACGATACACACTGCTAATAGAAAAAGATACCAACACACGGCTAGTAACACGAATTTCATTACCTCGTCTCAACTATGCTAGGCTATAGGGAGCAGGATGAGGTTCGGTGCTTAACTGCAGCTTCTGCACGGCCGCTTCAGATATCAATGATGAACCTACACACCTTTCCTCCAATGGTACACGTAGACAGAAAGATATTGTTTTGCTGCAGGTCCTCAAACGACCCCTTAGGCGTTAGGCACGCCCGTCGGACCACCAAAAGAGGCCCCGTGTCATCTGTATGCACAATTTCAGCCTCTTCTTCTTCATTCTCCACATGAACAGGATCGTTAACATCGGCTTGTGTTGTCCCTCTAATGAACAAATCTGGGCGTGGCTGCCCATGAAATGGACAGTCTTTCCTCTAATGATCAAAACCACTACAACCAAAACACTGACTTCCATGCCCTCGTCCACCAGGAGGAGCCCAGCCACCCGGATTAGCGGTTGGAGGAACCACTGGCCGAGTGTTCCAATCAACGCCCTGACCCCCAGATGTAAAGGATTGGGACGGACCAAATGTGGGATTTGGGGCGAATTGTCGACCCCCACCTCCAGATGGACCACCAGAAATGCCTACTACAGAACGACGTTGTTGTTGATTTTCAGCTTGAAGTGCTCTCTGAAGTGCTTGTTGGCAAACTCTCTGTACAGTGTGAAGTTAAAAAAAAAAAAAAACCTCTTCGCACGGTGACTGTCACGTGTGTTGCACGAATTTTTCATTTATCGTATTTTTATTAGTGTATGAATTTTAGTTTGTTGAAAAGTTTTTGAAGCAATATCTAGAAATATTTTCATGATATAAGAAAATAATTGTAAATTATTTTTACAATTGCATAACAGTATTATGTCATCTAAAAAAATATACTTGTATATTTCATACTTAAATAAGAAATACACGAGATTATACAAATTATTTTGCTTGTATTCTTTGATAGTGTTAATATGATTGATTTGAATGTGAATATTATATTTCTAAATTTTGTGTAATTCAATATTAAAAAATTGAAGATTGAGCACCATATTCATATGTATTTATATTTTGTGCTTCATATATATTTAATATTTATTTTATGCTTATGTTGAAAAAATAATTTTTTTTTTGAAATTCGATTTTGTAAGTGAATCTACAGTGTTCTGCATTCTCGGTATTTGTAAGTGAAAAAATCGATATATAAAAATACAGTAAGTTGCAAATACGGTAGGCAGCATATACGGTAAGGTGAAAATACGGCAAATTGTTTGCAAATAGGCTGTAAATACGGTAAGTTACAAATACGGTAGGCAATATATACGGTAAGGGCCAAATACGGTATGGTGCAAACACGGTAAGTTGTTTGCAAATACGGTAAGTTGCAAATATGGTAGGCAGCATATATGGTAAGCTGTATATACGGTAAGCTGCATATATGGATTTATAATTTGTTATAAATGTATAAAATTTATTTAATATTGAATTTCTTAAGTATTAAATGTTATAATTCAATATTGTTTTCTTTTTTATAATTGTATTTTCGAGAATTAAAAAAAAAGTGGTTATAAAATTGCTAATTTTTAAATGTGTTTTTTTGTTGAAAATAAAAATAATTTTTTATGTTATTTGTAAAACAAAAATTTATTGTAATTTTATTAGCGTAATAAGAAGATTTATTATGCATTTTTATTTTTTATATTTTGTGAAGAATTTTGTTTATGGCGATTGACAAATATTCTTCCATACACGCATCATGCCAACAACATTAGAAAAATAATAATAATTTTAGTATATATAAATTTCATGAGACAAAAAAAGACTCCTCAAAGTGTGGAGATATGGCAAACTATCTCTCCGCACAGTGTGAAGAAAAAAATAAAAACTCTCGAGACTTTATCTGCAAGTTTCAAGAGGTCTTTTCTCAAACAACTTTTTAACAATACATTGAACACTCTAATTCCTGCCCTACAACCCGAAAGTATAATTTCATTGAAAATTGTATCCGCTTCTAATGTCCAAGAGCTGTTATCAAGCAAGTGTAATATTGAATTTGGGTGGTACCCTAGAGCCTCGATTTGTGAAAGCAATGCCATAGTACTATCAATATCCCCTTCTTTGCACAACTCACATATTGTTTCATTATATGAATTACGAGAAAGCTCCTTTCCAATACCATAAATATGATTTGCATGCTCAGAAATTGAGTTGTGACTAGAATTTAAAAAGACATAATTAATTTTGAGCCATGTTTTTCGACTTTGTTTCGTTGTATATACGAAAAATTTATAATCTTGAAATTTGACTTGGAATTAAGGAATTTGAAAACAACTCTCCGTACTTTGAAATAGTTTTTTTCTTTCTGTACTGTGCGGAGAGTTGGTTTGTCATTTCTTCGCACCGTGCAGAGATTTTTTTTATTCCGCACTGTGCGAAGAGTTTGCCAACTCTCCACACATGGTTCAACTCTCTCTGTACTGTGCGGAGAAGTTTTTGTCCCTCCACACTTTTTTTTTACTTCGCACATGGTTCAACTCTCTATGCACTGTGCGGAGAGGTTTTTTTTACTCCGCACATGGTTTAACTCTCTCCGGACTGTGTGGAGAGGTTTTTTTCTCTCCGTACTTTTTTTTATTTTTTATTTTTACTCCACACTTGGTTCAACTCTCTCCGTACTGTGCGGAGAGTTTTTTTTTTTCAATTTTACAATATTGAATTAAACAAAATTTAGAAATATAATCTTCACATTCAATTCAATCATATCAACACTAGTAAAGAATACAAGCAAAATAATTTGTATATTTTTTATTCAAGTATGAAATATACAAGCATATTTCTTTTAGATAGCATACTGCTATGCAATTGTAAGAATAATTTACAATTATTTTCTTATATCATGAAAATATTTTTAGATATTACTTCAAAAACTTTTCAAAAAAACTAAAATTCATACACTAATAAAATATGATAAATACAAAATTCGTGCAACGCATGTAATAGCGACTAGTGATAAGTAAATTCCCAACACTTCTGCCCCTAAATTGCAAATTAACAAATCCTTTAATTTCAATCAAGAAAATTACAATAATGTGTCAAAATATGCTAGATTATAATTGGCTAAAATTTTGTGTTAATGAAATGTATGCACTTAGCTCGTGTCACTTTTGTATTCAAGTCTATGCAAGACAGTACACGTGGAGAAGGTCGAGCAACTTCTTCTATTTCTTAAAAGGACTAGCAAAACTTTTGTTGAAAAGACTATGAAATTACGAGACAAAAGAAAAGATAAAAATGGAGGAGTAATGAGGACTTCATCTTGCAAATTAGGTGTGTAAGCGGTCAAGTTTTACCAAATTTTGACAGATTTTCAATCCAAATCGTATAAACCCATTTGAGAAAAATCCAAACCTAAATCAAACCATTTTGAACGGTTTGAAAAAAACTCAAACAAAAACCTAATGGTTTGGTCCGATTTTAAACCGCCGGTTTTGCCATAAATTTTTTTGCCCGTTTACTTTTATTTCATTAATTCATTGGGTTCAATATATATTTCTATCTTATTAGCAAAAAATCTAAAACAAACTAAGCTCCTATTTGAACCAAATTTTTGGGACAATAAAAATAAAAATATGGACTATTATACCATAAGTCTAGTCGCCTTTGTTGACCTGTTGTTTCATGCGTGGGACCCAACATCCTCTCCAACGGTCAATTTTCTCATTATGATGATATGGAAAATATGGCTCAAACGGGGACTAAATATGTCTACTATAAATTTAAATATCAACTAAATCAAAGTAAAATCACAATAAACTAATACATAGTTTTTTCATTTTCTTCACCTTTTTTAGGCTAATGGCGATACAATAACGTTACAATACACGTATACTAAACTAGATAAAAGGCCCAAAAAATATAATGATGTCCAACAAGATTCGTGATCATCATATCTGAAAAAAATGATACCGATTAGACAAAGAGAATAACCAACCATAATAATAAAGTAATTGTTTATAATATCTAAACATAACAATTACACAAATTTACATTTGTATGATATTACGAAACGAATTAATTTTAGATTCTTACCTTAGTTTGCTCAAAAAAATTATTGATCTGAAACTTTATTTGTAGCAAATATTATCACCGAATGTTTAAGATCTCTTTGTCTCTAATTTGGTATAATGGACTTCAATTCAACTTTGAAGAGGCATGAAAAATCTAAAAAAAAAAGTGTGTGATGCCGGTTGCTCAAAACTATGTTGGGTGTCGGCTGGAGTTCATGTAAATCCTGTAGAGGAAAAAGGCTTTTGACAGATTATGTTAGTTTTAAAATTATTAGATATATATTAGAATTATTGGATGATAATAATAATAATAATATATCTGTATTAGAAAATTAGAAATTGACAAAAATACCCACAAATGACAAAACTATTGAATTTTACATATTTGGATGAATTTTCAAAAAATTTCATTTTTTCATTTTTATATATTTTTTTGTTGGTCCGGTTTGATTTTAAATTGCAATTAAAATTCTCAAACCTAAACCAAACCATTTTGACTGGTTTGATTTGGGTCAAAACCGTTTCGTTGACCGAATCCACGTGGCACCAAATTGATGGTTTCTAAAATGCGATTTCAATTCGATTTTTCGGTTTGATGATTTTTGCTTACAGCCCTAGTGCAAATATATAACACATAGCATTAATTACTAGATGGTATATTGGCTCACAATTTTAATGCATGTCCCATGAAGTCGTGTGATGTGCTTGATTTGAGAAGAATGAGTTTAAGATTGTACCCTTCGAAAACAAAAATATAGAATACTTGTACGAGTATATGACATCTCATTTAGATCATACTAATCTTGATAGGATCCTAAAAGGTTCTCATTGTTGTACATTTCCTGGAATCTAATGTAGAAGCCGAGGTTATCCATCAAGTTCTATGGTTGTCTTTGCTTGTAATGCTTATGGATCTCTAATATTAGATGTCAGTAACTTGGCATTTCAAGCAAAGGTTTGTATTATAATCTGGAACTTGTTACTCTAACAAGCTTGATCAACATTTGCCTGACCAATGCTATAATATAACTGTTCTCCTTGACCCTTGTTGACTTCTCAAACTTAGTGAATGGGCAACATTGAATTTCCTTCTTCAAAATAGTATTCTAGTGAAGATTTGCTACTGTGTATATGTAACATTTTGTCTTTTAATATATAATTTTATCTGAGGCAATTATTCCAATAATGGATTGGTGTAAAAAGACATTCAATCTTCAGAATCTTCATGAACTACTCATATATATATGTATGTATGTATATTAATTTTGAGTGCTGCTAATTAATGCAGGACCTGTTAGCTAATCCCAGTGTAGGATCCAAGAAAAAATTCAACACGGCTAATACATATAAAAAAAAAAAAAAAAATACTGCACATAAAAAAAAAAAAAAATTTTACTTAAGTTTTTTTTTTTAATGGACATTTGGTCTGAAGGGGACGGGCTGTCACCTGGATCCGCCCATGGCTAATCCCAAATGCTTACTGCTTGTCGTAAAAGATCCTGAGGATATGTCCGACTTAGTTATTACAGTACAAGGTGATACAACTCCAGTAAGCATCATTTTTTCTTCAATTTTTAGATAATTCTTGATGTCTAAATGCAAGTTCTGTGTGGTCAAGCATTATTCTACTGATCTTCTGTTCTATACTAGTTGCATCTGATATGGAACATTATATGACTTGCTATAGGTCGATGAGATATAAGGAGATGTTGTTCGCTCTGCATACTTGGCTAATCACCCCAATGCATTTTAGGTGAGTTTCAACTTCTTCATGTCTGGTTTGTTTGTGTTTCATTGCTTTAGTCCTATTTGTGTGGTGCGATATTATTATTTTTAGT